AAATTTCCTTCCAGTAGAGATTCTGGAAAGGTTCTGAATTAGTAATTCTAGTGGAAAAGGAATAAAATGAAACAAAGAATGAGCGAAAATGAATGCAAACAGATTCTAGAAGAATTATTTATTATATACGAGCTCAATAACGTTGATGTTATCATGAAGTGACGACAAGCGTAGATTTTTTTGAATAAGAGCCCGAGAAGTGAAAAATCGGCCAACGACACCTCATTCTTCTTTCCTTCTCATTCCTTCTTTCTATTTAGTAATGTAGACGACTTGACCGGTAGCTGAATCGCTTATGTCTATCAACTACGAATGTGTCGTTTTCTTGTTCAGCAATCGAGAGGTGTTTAAACAGCATACATTTACTTCCATAGAAAAACACAATACAATACAACGCTAGCTGACGTTTCGGCAGTATCGCCTTCTTCAGAGCCGCTTTTTTCGTGACTTCCAATGACTTCATTGACTTCATTGACTGTGTTGTATTGTATTCTGTTTCTCTGTGGAAGTAAATGCATGCTGTTTAAAAACCTCGCGATTGCTGAACAAGAAAACGACACATTCATATTCCAATGCCGAGGTTAATAGAAAGTCGATCCTGGGATCTATCGACTACCTTAATATTGCAAACTTCGTCACAATACACATGAATCATACCTAAGTCAGATATTGACTTTCGAAGTGTAGTCCATCAGGCAGAATAGGAAAGTAAACTTTTTTACTTTTACTACTATCGCTCACTTCAGAAATCCATCGAAGGTCAGAAAAAAGCAGAATTCACTTTAAAGTTGGTCTCCTTTCTTTTTTTCCCTTATTATTCTTCCTTAGCCCTTATTTACGGTTGTTAATTGCTCTTAGGCTTTAGAATTGCCAACTTCTACCTAATTTCCGTTTTCGGAAATTTTAAACATATTTGCATATATACATGTATATATATATATATATATACATATTCATACCACGTATATATAGCATGTATTTTTTTTATTTTATTTGATCCGTCTTCACGTCTACTGTGTGGATGGTTCCCAGCACTTCTCACATCCAATTTTTTCCCGCGCATAGATCGTTCACGAATGACTTCCAAGTTTTCTCGCATGGTTTCGGTTACTGCTTGACGATTTTCATTTCGTCTTAGTCGAATAATATTGGTCGGGCACTTCTCTCTGGAGTCCAGAGATAGGCCGTGCTGGAGCATTCCCAGTTGGGTTGCAGAGAGTCATTTTTTCCAGCCAAGGCCAGTACCAATTTGCCGACCCCGGAATGGTGAAAGGGTTGGTTGGCCCGGGGCAGAATCGAACTGACACCATGCTCGTGATGACAGACATCACTACCACTATGCTATCCGCCACCTTTTTAGCATGTATATGGTAGGCATAGAATTTATATGTACTACATAGAACGGGCGGATAGCACAACGGGAGTGAAGCCAATTATTACGAGCACGGTGCTTTTTCGATGCGGTCCCGGTTCACCAAGCCTATCATCTCCGGAGGATACCGGACTTGTCTGGGAAAACTTCACACTCTGCACTCCAAGGAGGAACGTTCCAGCCAAGTTATTTCAGGACTCCAGGGAGAATGGACTCAATCACAATACAACGACATTCAAAGTGAAAACAGAGGCCTCAGCCAGTAGCGGAAGGAACACATAAAAAGTTGAAAGACCTTCATGGATGACGAATGTCAGAAAACGACTCGAAGCGAGAAGTGCTAAGAAATATACAGTAGATGTGAAAGATGGGTCCTGCAAAAAAGTATATGCTGTATATATGTATATATATGCATATATATGTATATATATACACTTACTTGATACTTGATGCTTGAAAGACGCCATTTTTCGGAGATTTGCTGGTTTAGCCATTGTGGTTCACTGCAACACCGATGTCAGCCTAGCCAAAGTCTGCCCCATAATATATATATATATACATATATACAGTATTCGCATAAAACTGTTTGTGGCATACTTTTGGTGAGCACGTATGCTGTAAGAAATACACGTTGGCATCAAGTTTTTTTTTGCTTTCATTTAACTTCGTTTTTGAAAGGAAACGGAAGCGCAGTTTGACAACGGCCTTCTATCACACAATGCGCGCCTTCGGCTTTTTAGTTATTCCCGAAATGATTCTTAGAAATCCTTCTTAAATAGCAACAGACTTGCAGTATGGATAACAACACTAACACTTGAAATAGCTTTTTAGTTGCCCATAGTCAACATTTTCTGAGGCGCTGTGGCCACCATTGTTACTGTAAGGAAAGAAAAAGTCACTTGTATGAGTTTCTAAGCCACCGCGGTAAAATTCTTAATTCAAAAATGATGGAGAGTTGCGGGGCATTTGAGAAGGTTTCACCATAATTGCTTAGATAACTAGATTGTTCCTCCTCATATAGTGAGAGAGGCCTCAGACATCTTCAATTCCGTTTGTTGCTTTCGGACGTCAGCACAGCCTCAGCTCCGTTTCTTGCATCCAACCATCATCCATATCGGTGGTCGCATCTGTACAGATCTGTATACGAGTGCGAGCATTCTGATCTTACTTCTCCATCATCACATTATTTGTCGATCGAGAAAAAAGTTTTTTTCCAAATTACAAGATGTCCGTGTTGAAGCCTTCCGGTGTCGCCGTTACCGACTGCATCTGCTTTTGTGAGATCTGCTTTCGACCTATTGCTTCTTGCTACAGCAGCGACTCGTACCATTAGTAACTAACCAATCAACGACAATTTCACATCCCACGTTTATCACCTTGATAACAGAATTGCCTTTGCCAAAAGTTTTGGAAGACTATTACAACTAATCAAGGTCTTTAGCGTTGACGATATCTACTAAACGCGATTCTAAAATCAACTAAATAACTTTATAATAGCTTGCTTTGACGTTATCTTTTCTCCTGTTGCCAATACATTAATTTTCAACGCATTAACTTCGAAACGGTGTACCTAAGACGGTCGATTTCTCAAAGAATATCCCGTAAAACTGTAATAGGTGGAGTGTTAAATTGGTTCCTGTTCGTCTACATGATACTCATCAGACATAGTCGTGGTAAAAACAACAGTCTCTTTCAGAATACAATGAAGCCGCCTAAAAAGATGTTTAGGTTAACTTTCTTGACACTTCTTAACACGTTAGTTATCCACATCAAGTTCAGTACTAACGACATGATCAAAATTAGTGAGAAGAAATAAGGCTGAGCTCAGAAAGAACCCTTAATTCTGATCTGTTCAGCTCTCTCTTTTCGTCCACTCTGGATCGAGCCCTTTTCGGACAACTTGCCCGCTCTCAGCCGAGTACCACGCCCCTACTGCTAGCCTCCTCAGCTCCAAAAGCAAACCGCAACATCCACACCATACTTCCTCTGATTCATCCACAATGCGGGCTCTAATCAGCCATTAGCGCTTTTTCAGTGGCTTTTCCAAATCTTCTCAGAGGCTCTTTCTGCGCTCTGCAAAAGTCCTCGGCTTTCTATAGAAATGTCTATAGATCACAAGAAAATCTCAAAATGCTGTGAAGAACTAATGCATCACCAAAAAACACGATATTTATATTTTTACAGTTAAATTGATTGTCTTCTTTTTACCTCTTTCTATTGTAGACCAACTTTTTTATTCATCAGTAACTTCCATCGCCGATGGCTCTCGAGTTCACTAAGAAGCAGTTTCCCCCTCTATTTTGTTAGGTGAAAGCAGATCTTGAACTCTAAATGAACGTGACGCTGACCAGTGTTTTGCTTCGGATAGGAATTTTAATAGCTCTCTTAAAATTCCTAGCAGTATATAATGCCGATTGAATGAGGAACATGGCGTAAATGCCGCAATTCAGTTGACCTCACAACAGCTCTGCTTCGACCGAATTTCTTTCGGAAACATCCAGTTGTTTTCAAAAATACTTGACTGGGTAAGAACAAGAGAAATGGGGAAAAAGTTGCGTAGTAGAGACATTTATTCCCACTTTATGGGTCGCCTACATTTCCTTTAATATGCTAAATGCAGTCTTGTTGATTTATGATTCCTTAAGGGAGAACTTATAAGTTATTTACTTTCCAAATTCTTCAGAAAGACTACCATCTCATTTTGTACTGTTGTCACCCTTTTAGCTCATCTTCACTCTTGCCGTGTCAGGTCAATGTTTTTTAGTTCATGTTTTTGTTTATAGTGAAGACAGGCAGAGCTCCGGCGTTCTTACTCTGAGTCTAAGCACAACACACATACTTGGTATGATGTACCATCCCCAAATAAATGGATAGTAGTTATTTACATCATACTTAGCACACGTGAGGCCAATGGAGACTCTTGGAACTTGGAGACGTATTATGGATAGCTCTTTCTCCCAACCTTAGGATGTAACTTTCAAAGCTGTATAGGGGAAAAGCATCCTAAAAGCATCAATTTCCCAGAGAAGTGATACATATTTGCTTGAATAATAGTCTTACAAAAGAAAAGCCACCGGAGAGCAATGGAGATTTTTGAGTTAAAAATAGTCTGAATAGCTCACTTTACAGCGTTAGCATATAATTTGTAGAGCTGTATGACGTAGAAGCGTGCCGTAAATCGCTTGAATAGTAGTCGCACAAAAGAAAAGCCAACGGAGGTCAATGGAAACTTTTTGGGTTAAATAATAACCTGAATGGCTCATTTCCCAGCCTTGGCATATAATTTGTAGAGCTGTATGACGTGGAAGCATGCCGTAAAACTCGCAATTTTCCAGAGAAGTGGAAGTTAGTTTGTAGAATAGTATGTATCATACTTCGCATTTAGAAAACTTTGCTATACTCTTCTATTTAGTTTGATAGCTGTTGATTGGTTGATCGTGCTCTTTGCTTCTAATTAAGCTTAAAAGTAGATGTTTTGAGACCAAAAAAGACCTAAAAAAAATAACAAAACTTCGTCTCAAAAGCACAAATCGTCTTTGCGCCCGTTTCTTTTTTCTCGAATTTCGAGTTCTTTACTTCATGCTGAAGTTTATTTGAAATGCAGGTTTCAGTGGGTACTATACACAAGATGCATTCAGTGTACACTGTAGCCGTGGTCTGTGCCCTCGCAACAATGATCCTCGCACAGGTGAGACTTTCTGGCTTGACTCATTCGTCGTTAGTCAGTTCTCGAACAATGTATCGTGCATTCGTCTTCATCAAATATAATAAAAGTGAACGAAAACATATCTGGCATGTATAGACTTTCGGTGGCCTGCCGATAGTGAAGTCAGAGCTGCCGCCTTCCCAGGCAAGTCTAGACGCGATTTTCCGACTCCGAAGGAATTGAAGGTTTGGTGAGCTGTGGGCGCAGGGTCGAACCAAAGAACGATAGCACGTGTATTGCAGAGCACCTCTAATTAATGCGTAGCCCTCACTTTCTAGCTTACGAACGATGAACCTGTGCTAAAGCTTAGAACGATAAATCTTACACCTCGTTCACGCATTGTGTGAGGGGCTGTTCTCATTCGAATATCCATTTCAATTTTCCTCCTAATAATGGTCTGCGTTGAATCCCTATGTACTTCGTTGAGCCAACACGGCTAATAGAAATTGCAGGCTTTTTTCATTTTGCCGAAAGCTTTGACTATCGAATAACTGTGGTTCTTTTTTGTTCCTAAGTTTGACTAAAATTGAATATATAACTGTTGAAAGTGCAAGGTTAAGAGCTAAATAGCATTTTATATCGGAAACTTCACTAACACTTCCCAAGCGGTTGCTTGGCAATGAATATAGTTCCATTTACAAGTGTTCCCGAAAGATACAGTTATAGTTAGCCAGTTTTAGTTTACAGTTTAGTTTTTTTTTTTTCTCGTACAGTTTAGTTTTTTATAGTTAGCCAATGAAAAGGGCAGCGTCGTTAATTTGAGGGATGCTGGCTTTCGTACCGTTTCTCTTCAGTTTCAGATCATTGTACGTTCTTTCTTACTCTTCCAGGTAGCCGATGATCTCTCAGCGGAGAAGCGCATCAGTAGATTCGCGTTCGCGAAGCGGTCTCCGTACAGACAGTTTGCATTCGCCAAGCGACTGGCTGAGGACGACGGTGAGACGGATGTGGAGAAGCGAGCTCGATTCGCATTCGCGAAGAGGTTTGTGCTTTTTCAGGCACATTATTCGTCAAACACAACGCATGACCAATGCTATTTGTCTACGCGTTGCTGCTAATGATTCACTTTCAATTTTCTGCTGAAGAAGAATTACTACGAGCACAACGGAGAGTGAATGCGCTCTATCTGAGTAAATTCTACTCAGTAAAACTAAATAAAAAAGGATAAAGCTCTATGCATTGATCTATCCCTGAGGCATGCGCCATAAATTCGACTTCACTAAGCATCCTTGGAGGTGACCCTGGCCTTTACAATGACTAGCGATAGCCTGCGCGATGTACCGAACCAGTGCTGATATCCTCTCAGATAAGTCAGGTACCAATTTGCCGACCCCGGAGGGCTGAAAAACTTGGTGACCCTCGGGCGCGGGATCGATCCCATGTGCATTTCAGGGCGCCTCCGACCACTACGCTACAGGCGCTCTTCAGTGTAAATGCTGAAAGATTGCGCTAACAGTGAATTCAGTTCCATCTAGATATTGATAGTGAAGCGGATTTCGACTAGTAAGAAATATCTAGTAGCTGATCTTTCATGAGTTGTATGTGCGTAGTAACAGAATCTCTTCTTCCAGTTGGGAACTTCTCTTTGGTAAAGAGACCTGAGAAACATCTGCCACGTCGTTCTTAGGTCGTCACCACGGGCAGCCTCCTTTGCTGCATTATAGACTGGGAATATTCTAGAGAATATACATTAATTCGTTATTATTTTTGATGAACGAGCACTAGATTGTTCGTACAGCAATATACGAATTACTAAGCTCATTCAAATGAAAGGTCGGGTCAGAAAAAATTTCCGAAATTACCCCGCTCTTCCTATTAAGAAACAAAATCCCTAGGATAAAATGCCTAGTAGCAGCGACTGTTACTGTTAATTAAAAAGCGCTTTTCGTCGGAAAACCATCGTTCGTAAAGGGCACTGTTCCTCACAGAGGTGGTTTATTTATGTTCTTAATTATCACAGCATAAAATTGGAATTCTAAGGATTAATGCGATAATTAATGGGAGTGAGTACATAAGGAGCAGCTGTAATGCATTTTGTTAAAGTTATCAATCCCTTTTAGTTCTGCTCACTGAAGCGAGTGTTCTCCCGCCCAGGCTCAAAAAAATGTATCCGGGCCGAATTCTCTAGTTTTATTTTTGATAGCAAACGGAAACAAACCGAAATGCTGCAATTGACAGACAGTTCGATCCGTAGCCAAGTTTTGAATAAAACCAATGATTTTAGTTATTATTCCAAATAATAAGGTTCTAAATTCTGTGTCGGAAAAGAAACTACTGATTTTTTCCGATACTGAAATTCCACGATTGCCTGTCGTATAGGTTTATTTTAGGAAATAACTATTATATATAATTCCCAAGATCGACTTTCTCTTAACCTCGGCATTGGAATGTGAATGCGTCGTTTTCTTGTTCAACAATCGCGAGGTTTTTAAACAGCATATATTTACTTCCATAAAAACACAATACAATACAACGCTAGCTGACGTTTCGGCAGTATCGCCTTCTTCAGAGCCGCTTTTTCGTGACTTCCAATGAGGAAGTTTAGAACAGCTGATTATAGTCGCATGTGGTTGACGACTCGCACTCGACGACTAGCAATTTAACTTCATTTAATTTAACTTAACATTTACTTCCACAGAGAAACAGAATACAATACAACGCAGTCAATGAAGTCAATGAAGTCATTGGAAGTCGCGAAAAAAGCGGCTCTGAAGAAGGCGATACTGCCGAAACGTCAGCTAGCGTTCTATTGTATTGTGTTTTTATGGAAGTAAATATATGCTGTTTAAAAACCTCGCGATTGCTGAACAAGAAAACGACACATTATATATAATATTCCTATGCGAATAGAACAAATGCAACCTCCTATCTCTTTATGTGATTGTGGAGTAAAAGCGAACAACCTAAATCCACGGGAACCACATATCGGCGCTAGGATTTTTCTTCTTCATTTGGAGTAATCGTGACGGTGATGAAGCAAATGTTCTAAAAATAACGAAAAATAAATGCGAGTTCTTTTTTGGAACAGTCGTATTGAGTAACGAAAATAACCGAAGCTTCTGCTGCTTAACGCACTGTTGGTGGTCGAACAACGACAACTTCCGTTTATCGATGAATATCTCGATCAAACACCACTAAACTTCATTGTCCACATAGCATGTCAAACTGTAGAGTGCATTTTGCTCATTCCCTGGACACGAGATGAATCGTGTTTTTTGTATGACGGTAGTAAATGTTATTATCCTTGGCAGATTACCTACTAGTATGGTAGTTCGCTGTGCTCTCCTATGACTGTGGTCCTCACAGCATACAATACGGATCTGCAAATAGGAATGGTGACGCACTCATACAAGAAAGTGAATAAAACAACTATGAGTGAATCGAAAACATCAAAAAGAGGAAGTCTACTCCTTAATTGCGTCTCAATACGAGCAAAAGGTATTTTTTACTCCTTTAACTCATTTCCATCGTCATAGAACACATCACACACCTGTATAGAATATTGCTCATAAAGGCCCATTTTTTAGCGTAATAACCGCCTGCCTTTACAAGCCGTGTACGTTTTACGAAATGTGCGTGATCTACGTACTTCTTAGGAAATAAATAGAGAAAAGTGGCCGTTGCGCTGCTTCCCTATGAGGCTTTAACGGTTTTTTTTGGGCTATCCATAGCAAACCGAACTTTAACGAAAAGAATGTGGTAATGGTTCTTCTCTAGAGCGCGCACTGATTCGTGATTATGAAAAGATTTTGCATTGCAATCCTTCAGATTCCTTTCTTCCATACCGTCTTTGTGCAAATTCTATGGTAGCATAGTGTCGACTATAGTTCGCCGAAGTGAATAATTGCTTCACTCTTCTGCTCTTCTCGAGCACATGCTCGGTGACGTTCAAGAGGGGTCCCAAATTTTTGATTCGAGAAACAAGAAGTGTCCTTGGTTTTGTTTCAGCGTTTAAGGAGTGCCAGTCGTAGTGTTCAGTCAAATCATGCTCAAAGCACTAACATTGTTGGAGAATATTTTGAAAAACAAACTCTTACTTATCCTTCTTAACCATGAATAATCAATGATATATTCTCAAAGTACGCGAAATAACACACAGGTGACCTAACCCCATCTAAAGAGTTAAACATGTGCTTTCCTTCTTAGGTGAACTTTTGGATTGGTATTCGAATAAGATTTTTATTGGAATTAAGAAAAGTTAACCAAGTAGTAAAATATAGCAAGTTATAGTGCGCCTAGGCCCTCAAAAAAACCAAATCGCAGAAACGTCAGCCATTATTTTTGAAAACAAAGAGATACCAAAGCCACACCTGCTTAAACAAATACAGCTCTTTCGTTCGAGGCGTTCTCGTAACACAGACTGCAACCCTCCTCACGCAAATGCAGCCAGTTTCGATAATTGATGAGCTACTGATTAGGCAAAGTTTTCACTAGAACATCCTAAGTTCGTTATATCAGGTGACACGAGGATGTGTTAGTGCCAGAAATTGCACCGATCGTAAGCGAGCATTCGTATGGAATGATTTTTTTGTACATGTAAAACGTTTTGGCGCTCACTATACCAATTAGTTATGGAGCAGCAGTAAAAAATGAATAGAAGCATTGAAGAAGTTGAAAAAATCCATATGAAGAATGATAAAGGCTGAAGCATAGAGCTGCCACTGCTGATCAATCCTTTAGAGGATACGCAATGCCTTCGGCTTTATTAGTCATTGCTAGAGGTTACTGAATATATATCTGGTCGATACAATGACGTACGGTGGCATATCGACGTTTTAAATCAGTGCTACTCTCCTTTTACACAAGTCTGCTAGTAATTTTCCGACACCGGAAGGGCTGAACTCGGTGACCTGAAGAGGCGAGGTCGTACCAACGACCTCGTGTGTATTATAGAGCAATTCAAACTAAGATATAATGATAATGCTGGCGGTGGTAATGATAGAAACAATGAAAACATTTGCAGGTTACCGTATCGTCATTTCGCGTTCGCCAAGCGGGCTTCCCCTTATGGATTCGCCTTCGCGAAGCGAGATTATTCTTCTTTCGCCTGAACACCTTCGTCGATACGATACCAATGAGGAAGCGAAACAGATGATTATCGTTGGCAGTGATTCTTGCTACAGTCACAAATCTCTTCCCTATTTTCATTGCTATTATTATCAAGTCCCACCGAGTGTTAAAAGAATCCAGTCTCACTAAGGACAAATAAACTTTTGAACTCATTTGTTAATCGTGTAATTTACTTCTACGTGAAACAAGAACAACGAAGAACAAAAAACAACGACAACGTTTTAGAAACCGCAGAAACATTGTTGATCACCATTCACAAAAGACGAAGTGCCAAAATTTTGCTAAAAGCTTCTCTGAAAAGTCTTCAGAGTAGAGTCAGCCAGAAAGCGATAGAGTTTGGTCGGTGTTTCGAGCGGTACCAGCGAGGTTTCAGAATAGTTTTGGTTTTATAAATATCAGTGAAGTCGTTACGTACAATTATCATTGTGTTTTTGAAAAAAAAAACAGAAAAGAAGTGGGGTAGTTAGTACAAGCGTAATCGAATGGCTCTGTTTAGTGCTAAAATTTTGCCGTTC